CACAGCTCTCATAACTAGGCCACCGGTGATCAAACCGAAATGTGGCTCTTCTACGACCCTGATTTCCAAACAATTCAACCCTCATGGGACAATGGTCGGAACCCACCATCGGTTCATTGTGGATGGTGGCTTGATCAAAGATCTCTCGCCATTCAAGCGAGCATAACCCTCTATCCAACCTTCCCATTATCTTCCTTGTTCCTTGTGCATAATAGACCATGTGAATCTCGGACCCTTGAAATCCATATCAACAAGTTCATTATTAAACACGAAGTCCTTGAAAGGCTCCATCGCATTTCTCCTCGGGGGTTACCACCTTCTTTCTCCGACACATCCAACACCGCGTTATAATCACCCAACAAAAGCCAAGGTCTATCATTAGTAGGTCTACAATTACTAATAATCTCCCAAAAATCCCTTCTCTCACTAGGGTCATTGTGAGCATGAATAAAGGTAAGAAAAAAACCTCCACCTAAATTGACGAAAACATGAACGAAAAATTCCGTATGGTCAATGATATCAACCACGAGGTCTTTAACCCACCAAAGAGCTAAACCTCCCCTACTTCCTACAGGATTTTGGTACCATTTGTTGTAAAATTTGGCCCTCCTCCTTTCAACTTCTAACACATTTTCTTGTTGTTTTGTTTCCATAAGAAAAGTAATACAAGGCCTATAAGATAAGTGCATATCCATAAGATATTTAACTGTCGTGTCTGTGCCAAGACCACGATAGTTCCAGCATAAGATTGTCATGGCTCCTTTGGTGGCTTATGGAGAGCCACCTTTTCCTTTCCAGATTCATTTCCTTCATGATCAAAACCTGCAGCCTCCATTACATGATCAGGAACCATTGACAATGCAGTAGGCTTCTTTTTATGATTGACTTTTAACTTCTTTCTTGGCGCTTGAGCCCTCAAGCCCCAAGGACTCAAAAATTGGGCCTCCATCTGCTTATTGTCCCACAACACAAAAGGTTGCTGGGTTTGCCCCATCATATAACTCTCTTGTGCCATCTGAAGATAATTAGGGCTAGGGAAGAAGTTTGTCTGGCCCAATGGAAAAGGGTTGAAAGGTTTGGGCTCCAATAGCTTGGCCCATTCCCATGTGTTGATAGGTTTGACTACCCGAACCCTGACCCTTCTCCCCTTGCTGACTGTTCCCCCCTCTCTCTTCATGTTCTTCATCTTGGAAAAGGGAACGCGGCTTGAAAGGTGAGAAATCTCCAGTTTGCTTCATTGTAGTTGGGATTCCCTCCTCAACCGATTTCCCAACTTCAAAGCCCGGAGGGGGCCCCGAGTTTCCACTGTCAACACCTGCCAAGAGAGCCGTTGGTGATGGAAGATTCCTGCGGGAGTTTTCAGGGACCTTACCTCCTCTCTCCTTTCTTTGGAATCCATGCCCGCCGGAGAGACGACCGTCGAGGTAAGAAACTGCCGCCCTTCCACCAATGGCCTGACTGAAGTTGTCGGCCGTCTTACTCTCTGCTGTCCCTGGAGTGTTTTTTTTTTAGACAGCAGAGAATGGAGATGCTGGGGAGTGAGGGCCAGCCCTGATCCAGTCTCCATATCGGCCTTCAATGTATTCTTCAGGGTGTTTGCACACCAGTTGGGTATGACCAATACGCCCACAATAGTAGCAGCAGTTAGATGGGAGCCTTTCGTACTTGAATTCAACCCAGTGCTCTTTTCCTTCTTCGATTTCAATATAGAAACCAGGGGGAAGGGGCTCGGAGATATCAAAGACAACCAGCACTCTAATAAAATTCATGTATATCCCCTCTGCCACACCAGATTTGTCACCCCTAATTAGCTCCTTGAAAATTTCACCTAGGGGAAGAGCCACATTTTCGTCCGTCCTCAAGTTGCTCGGAAAGTCATGGATCTGGATCCAGATTCTGGATCTATTGAAATCCAAGCTATCAGTTCTGACTTTACCTTGTTCAGTCCACTCTTTAAGAACGAGTAGAGTGTCTGCAATCTTCCAAGGTCTTGCTTCCCAGATCTTCTCCTTGTCATCTGGGGAGCAGAACATGATAACAAAGGTATTGATATCAATCTGAACAATTGTTGGCTTCTTCACATCTCTCCAGTTCCTTGCTATTAGCATATCCATACCTCCAGCATTATACTTCTTCTCACATATGAGCTTTCCCACCAGTATTTCACACCTCTTTCTTTCTGCCGACCCTCTTTTTGGTTTGAATCGGAGGAGGGAATCGGAAACACTGAGTGATTATGTCTTTTTCAGCAGGTCGGAGATGCCATTACCAACCATTTTGTTTAGTGCTTTTGGATTTTCAAGAAAAACAAGGGGGTAGAAACAGAGAGGGGAAGTCTGGGTTTTTGTTTGGGGTTGAAGAATAAGAGTGAAACCCTCCCTCTTCTCATAGATATATGCTTTAATTTTTGTTTCTGTCGATATGAGAGATTTAGTTTGAGCATGGCAGTGCCTTCAAATGTTGTCTTTGATAGCGAGAAAATAATGAGATGCATTTCGTCAAGTTCTTCAAATTGCAGGTTCACGAATTCAATCTCAACATACGTACACCATATGAGGTTACTAAAATTTAAGTCCAAGCAAGCAAAATCCAATAAATTAAATTTTGGTATGAATGTAGAAATAATTCGATTTAGTCGTTCTCGTTCTACAGTAGTTTCTTGTTGGGTAGGATCATTCAACCAAAGACCATATAAAACACCAAACAAAGGGTCAATCAAGCTAACCTCAAAGTATGCATTTTGAAAAGATTAATCACAAAGTGACTTCAAATGTTCGAGATGTTTCACTAATAAGATGCCATTCATACAAAATATGGTACTACAAATAAACAATTCTTGCTTTCATTCGGGACTTCTACAATTGCATTGACGTAATTTCTTTGTGTGTGTATAACATAGCCATAAGTCTATCCATCTATCTATCTATCTATCTTCTATAAAAATATTAAAGGATTTTCTGATTTTGGCCCATGCCACGTAATCCTTTCTCTACATACACGCTATCCACGTCAGCCACTCTATTCCTTCCTCTAAGGCTCCAACCATCACCCCAACGGTTCTTTCTCCTCATCGGCCCATAAAAACCCCTCGCAAACTTTCGCGCATCCAACCCTCTGCCTCCTACCCATCCACCATCGCCATATGCCTCCGACGAGGTGACGATTTCCAGTCTTCTTCCCGCCAAATGCTCCAACCGGTGTTCCAGCGGCCATAATCATGTTATGAAGAGTTTCGTTTCCATATGTAATTCTCCCCAATGCTTCTTCCATTTGCTTTTTCCCTTCCCGTCGCTGCATTTGATCTTTTTTATGTTCCTTCCACTTGGATTTGACTTGGGGTTTTCTGTTCTTACGGAGAAAGCAATGTTGATTTCCCTGCCGCCCTCTCTCTCCACTGTGAAATTCAATTTTTATGGTAGCACATTCCTTCTTGCATTGCTAATTGCTATCCGTTAAATTGCCACTTTACATTTGAGTGTTTGGTGCTTCTCTAATTGGGTTTACTCATTATTATTTGTTGCCCTTATTTCCGTGCATGATTAAGATTTAAGTGTTTGTGTCTTTATGCCTTATGTCTTGTGTTTTTTTTTTGTACTTTAATTGTAAACTCATTGTTGCCTTCTGCCACCGTTGTAGGTTACATTGTTTTTTCTTCAATCTCATATAATGTTCCTTAATTTGCTATACACTTAAATGTTGTATGTTCCTCTAATGTTCCTTAATTTGATATACACTTAACTGTTCTATGTTGAAAGACGTAATGCACTTTCTGTTCAAGTGGAGAAAGTGGGTATTTATGAATCAGTAACTCATCTAAACTTTGTGTATTATCATCAATATTAATGTTTGTGCTAGAGTTAAAAATGATAATTAGCGATAAGTCGAACATCACTCAATGTTCTTAAATAAGCTTGCTCACTAGGTTTGGCTTTTAATTTGATGTATCAATAATAGGAGATCAAGTAATTTTGACTTTTGGTAAATACAAAATATTGCAAGATTAAAAAATATTAACTTCAATTAATTATTCTAAAATCATTTTTTTTAATTTCATAAGTTTATAAATTTAGATCATATAAAATATATTTTTGAGATATAATTTATACACTCAAATTCATAATGTATTGTAATTGTTTATCGATTAAAAATATAAAAAGTATCGGAAATCAATCACACCCGGCCAACAGGTCGGGTACGAAGCTAGTTAGTCTCAAAGGATTTCTTCAACAAATTCTTCTCCCACGATGTTGGTGTATTACCAGCCATGATGTGTATGCGCTCTTATTTCTGTCTATAGGGTCCAGAGAGAAATTTAATTTTCATAGTTAAGGTAAACATAAAAATGGGGTATCAGGGTATCAGCTCGACCAATCATTTCTTAAGTAATCATAAAATTCATGGGGACCAAGGATTGACCGTATGATACTCAGTTCGGTATACTCCAATCAAAATGTCGAGTTGATCTGTATAAAATTCATGGGGACCAAGGATTGACCGTATGATACTCAGTTCGGTATACTCCAATCCAAATGTCGGTTTGATCTGGTACAGACTGGAGCATTATAAACCCCTACCATCAATAAAGAATAATCCCAACTTCACCACCAAAAGTTTCTAATGATTTTATAAACTTGATATACCAATCACTCGAAATGTCAAAGTGGCATGCAAGCACAAAGACAAAAGGAGAAGGACATGATAGAATGCAGCTCTCGGACCTGAATGAACCAAGTAAACACACTTTCACCCTACAGTAAAAAGTCATTTAGAGAATTCCCAGCCTAACATTGAACCCACCATCGTTTTTGAACTTCTATAGCCTGAGATTCACATTGTAACCCTTCAGAGATTATTCAACCTCAGTCAAATTATGCAAGATGCAACCTTTGTCCACCAGAAACTTATGTTATACAAACTACCATAAAATTTGGAAAACAATATAGAGGGGAATTTGACAGGAAAAGCACAACAAACAACATGTAATACGTGGCCTGGTCATATATGCAGTGGAAGACTTCATTACTTTAAAATACTACCTTGAAAACATTGAGCAATTTAAGCTTACACGTACCCCACATCCTCCCTTACTGAAATCAATTATTGAATGTACGACCTTGGTTTAAGTTGTGCTATATATGTGAAAAGGGTCAAACAACATACATTTTCTTTAAATAAATTATTTTGAATCTTACTAATTAGCCACAAGGATTGAATCAAACACCAAATCGTTCGTAAAAACATGTGATGGTTGGCCAAGCCAACTACCACCAAGAAAGCCTAACCAATTTGATAGTGCAAGCCTAAGGGCCACCATATTTGCCTCTATGAACACATGGAGCCAATCTCTTCAATCAATCTCCCTTGCTGCTTCGTGGCTTTCGACTTAATTTTCATGATTAAATTCTTGCGATCTGACTCTATCACATAACGACCCATTTGCAGCTTCATCATCTTCTTTACAATTGAACAACACTGCCCTGCTTTCAGCAACTTCAAGTTCCCATCATTCCTCCTCCATGTTGGCTGCTGCAAACAGCATACGTAAGCACGATAAAAAGAAAGAAACATTGTTGAACCAAAGAGAAGGAATCAACTCAACAAAGAAAACTTAAATCAGTTACAAAGAGAAGGAATCAAAATATATAAAAAGAACGCTGATGAATATGTAAACATGGAAATTTTTGGCACCTCTAAGAGAGTTGAAAGATCCTTTGTAGTAGATCATGGCGCTCGAAATCCCATCACTACAGCAGCAGGGAAATTTACCTTTGCAAAGAAGCACCCGTAGCGAAACTCCATGGTCTGAAGATGCCAACTTGCTCTTCCTCAGTTGCTTCCAGGAGCCCCGCTGGGATCGTGAATTTTTTCATTATGGTTAGTAGGAAATATGTTACAGTTTACTCGTGAAGCTCTTTAAATTCATAGTGAAATGGAAGTCGATGAAGCTGGCTAAACATAACCCATGTCCTGGCCGTGGGTTTTTGCATAGATATTAAAAGTTCCATACTTGGGGCATTTGTTGTCATGGTGGCTCATTTATGAGGTGAAGAGTGATCTAACCTAAGTCTAGATAGCTACGGGATTATATCTTATCAAATAAACAAATCTAAAAGGCAGTAAGGTAACCAATCCAAGCTTTCAAGCAGTGAACATAACAGATAAATACTTCTTGTGTGCGTGAAAGTTAAAGACAACACAAACTAGCAGCAAAGCAAGAGTAACGATGGGTACATAAAGAACCTGCAGCAAGCAACGGAAAAATACTCTCAACCCAACCTATCATCTACGTTCACGGCCAAAGCAAGATAGCCTCAAATTCTCATTCTAACCTCCATCCAAAAAATAAGTATCAGTTCAAGAAATAAAGATAAGCGGATTCAAAATGTATGAAACCAGACATTCAAGATTACTTTATCAAAGAGAAAACTATATCAGTTCAAGAAACCAGAATCAAATATTTCAATGAAAATGCAAAAGCAAGCAAAACACTCGCATTGAAAGTTCGAAGTATCCGATCAAGCATAGCAGGAAGTACCCAACAAATGAAGGTACATAGTAGTTGCATGGAAGCTTTCAATTTCATCTCCATCACTCTATGTTCTTGCATTTTGCCTGGCCATTGCTGTGGGAATTGAATACAGATCTTAGACTTCAGCTCATTAGGAAGGAGACTTACAGAGATTGGGGAACGACAGAAATAGAGAAAGAGACTTACATAGATTAATCAGCCTTCCTGATACTTGGTTCAAAACTCCGAGAGCTTGGGTTGTCTTCTAATAATCCTGTAGAAATCAGGACGGAACAACATTCATACACTTTCAAACCAACCAGTTCTCTAAAAGGGCTGCAAGGGGGGAAGAATCTCTGCAACTAACATAAGCTATGAGGAAGAAGAAGACGAGTTACAAAAAATATATTACCTTGATTCATGAGCAAGTCCATGATAGCCTCAGTGAGCCTCCTACCTTTTGCTATATCTTATCGCTGCTTCATCTTGGCAGTCCTTGTCTACACAACAATCACAAAACCAACCATCAAATAAAACTAAAATGAAAACAAATTTGGATTCATTTATGACTTTCCAAATCTATCCCCTTCCACCCTCACATAGCCCGCTGGGCATTTTACCTGGAAAGGGGAGTATTGTAGCGACACCAAGAGCGACCAAGATATAGATCTTCAAATTAAATTGAAATAATAAGAGTGATAGGTTGGGTTTAATGGGATTGCCTTACGGGAGAATCAAATCCAACCCGGGGAGGCAGGGAGGGAGCATGCAGCAGTGGTGGCCAATTCAAAAAAGATTCTAGATCTCCCGTATAAGCCTTTTCTTCCCTGCTAGCTTTACTCTACAGACGTTTGATCTAGTAGGTGTTCTGATTTGGTTCACTGTCACAAATCTACCCACACTAACTAACAAACAAACAAAAATAATAATCACAATCAATTTAGCTCATAACCACTTTGCAAACGAAACCAAGAACACCTATGATCTATGTAAGAATTAAAGGAAAGAGATTCAGAGGATATTTGAGTAACAATAAGCAAAATAAAATTATAAAGACAAAATACTCACCGCCGGAAGGTACAATGGTGGGTGAATTGGCTAATAGGTGGGGTTACAAAAGCGCTTCTGTCTATGGAGAAACCACTATAGGTGGAGAAGCGTAGTACGTAGGGCGCATCGAAACACCTCCCTGCTGATAATGGAGGCTTTTGGTATTGCGAGGACGGACAACGGAAATGAAGAAGCGTCGCTCGCCGATCACACTCGAAACACTTCCTTGCAGGTAATGGAGGCTGTTTCAGACCTACAAAGCGTAATACCAGACAAAAGAATCACTAAAATTGATGCAAAAGGATTATAATCGGGAGATGAAGGTAAAACTATTAGGACAAATGAACCGACCAATTTGAAGCGAGTCCTCCTTATTGTAGTGGGAACCTTGGTGATGCGATGATGGAGAAATAGGGATTCAGAGTGGGAGGAGGAACTTTGTTAGTTTGCGGGGGAGAAGCGGCACCGGCGATTCGCGTTGCTAGTATGAGGTGCGAAAGAAGGGAAATCAGCGGTTGCGGGGGCTTGACAGAAGCTTTTTCCCAGTAATAAAATAAGGAGATCCTGCAGCGAAATGTAGTTTCCACAACTGCCCCTAGCGAGAATGAAGGAGAAGCCAAGGATTTCAAAATGGAGAAAAGCAGCCAAAAATTGTTGTGGAAATTGTTCACATATACTATTTTCTTACAACACAAGCAAGCAAATATATACGATTAAGAAAATATGCAAAAATATATGCAAGCGTCCTAGCCGATAGAATTCACTATTGATGCTCTAAAACACAACACCAATCTGCGACCAAGTGTAATCGCAGACCGGGAATGCAGTAAAGTAGCAAGTTATATTATCAACCCGGGGTCTAGATCTACTGCTTACTCAGCGATTCTCTGTTATCTAGCCAACTAAAGTAAGTGATTTGTTGTTTAAAAGCAAGAGCAGAAAGAAAGCAGGAATTGATACGGTTTTCTTAAGCAGGTAAGAGTCACTCGGGAATGAGTCCCCCTAGCTCCTTAGTTAGGTTTCAATTGCAATTTCCCTGGGTTGATTTACTGTTGATTAGACTGCGGAAGATCCGACAGTAGCTTGGAATCTCTTAAGCTAACCAAGCCCTCTCAGTCTAACTTCCCGACAGACGACTAGTCTTCACCGGGAAAGAAAGCTGAAGCAGTAAGAACAGAACTCCACTACTGGAATTGGATTCCAGTACAAAGCAGTAAACTGGCTAACTCTCGTATAGCCAATCTCCTACTACCGAATGATGAGACTCTAGCAACCTAATCAGATTCTATCTATCTCAGATTGCAGCAGGAATCAGGAAAAGTTGATCAGACTTCAATTGACTCAATAAACATGCATCATTCGATTAAAATCAAACAGTAATATCATCCCAAGTCATTACAATCAATCCCCTAACACATAGAACTAGAGTTCTTCATCCCCAAGTGAGAGAGAGGTTCTACTCCATAGAGAGAGAGAAGAAAATAGTAATCGGAGTAGTCATACTCATAATGATGAGGAAAATCTGCTCCGGGATGATGATTTCCACTCCTAGGACGATCTCCAAGCTTGATTTGATGAAACCCAGCTCCAAGATGGCTTCTAGGGTGAGTTCTTTGTACTTTCTCTCTCTAGGGCTCTGTTTTTGCTCAAGAAATCCGATCTCCCTTTCCTTGGCTCGATTCTGGCTTCAAAAACCCGACTCTGGGCGAAATACGGGCAGAATTACGGCCGTAATCATGGCCTGCCCGTAATTCGCCCAAAACGCGCGTTTAACTTTATTCTGCTGGAAGAGAGGCCACGCCCGTAATTGCCAATTACCGCCAGTATTTCTCTAATTACGGTCGTAATTCAGTGGATGCTTGCCCGTAATTTTATTGCCGAGAAGAATTCTTGGGAAAGTGGCTCGGCATTTGTTTTACGGGCATGCCCTGACCAATTACGGTCGTAATTTGGCAGGGGCTGCCCATAATTTGGCCTGTGAATCACCATCTGACCTCCAAATGCCCCGAAACTTGCACCTATGCACCTCTTTACCTGCTAGGACCTGAAATACGACAAAACAACACAACCTAGCGTAAAATAGGCCAAGGAACAATCAATTCAAGCTAAAATGGAAAGGAAACCAGAGTGAAAACACGTGCAAATACGATGCTATCAAATTCCCCCACACTTAACCGTTTGCTTGTCCCCAAGCAAACCAAGTCAGACACAAGGTAAGCTTACATTTTTCAATCAACCAACATTGGGGACAAGTCATAAAGGCACAGAACATGTGAATCGTACTGGTTTTCAAACATCAATACATGAACAACCTCAATAGAAACCTGGACAACCACCACAAAGGACATTCGAGTGCAGTAAAATCGAGTAAAGGAAGAGTCGACCTTCTGTTCACCAACCAGCCAAGACTTGACTCAACCACTTACTAAAAACAGTCACCTCATTCATCCAACTCAAGACATCAAAATAGAGACCGAGCAATCTAGGTCCTCACCAGGGTACAAGAGTATATAGAATATGAAAAATGAATCACTCACTCTCGACCAGTGGGGTCAGGACAGTTTGATGCGAAAGATGCGCATGCTATTTCTCTCAATCCCTAACATCTCTTCACCATGATGGCAGCCTCTAAATGCTAGAGTTCACATATGGGGTGTCACCACTAACTAATCAGGAGGTCTTAGACACAGGTTCAAATGACTGGCTAGGGTCTTGGACATGGGGAAAAGGCTTTTTAGGTGGTGGAAGTATTCAAAGCACAAGGTTCCACATTTCCAAACCCACACAATCACAGTCAAACAAACCGGTATTTCCTTTCTGCTATTCTGCATTACTCAATATCTCAAGAGCACAAAAGCGAAGGAGGTATAAATGTTAGCATTTCCAAGCCAGACTGCTAAGAAACACTACTTAATGGGCATTATTCAGATTTTTGGTAGTGGCTCTCTTTTGCTTCCAATTTTTCTTTGTTTTTCTTTCATTTTCTTTCATTTCTTAAGAGAACCACCACCTCTGCATATTTTCAAACACCTGCCCAACTTTTTAAGAACTACCTCCCACTCTCACATTATATTTAGCAGAAACAGCAAAGAACAGGTAAAAATCACTCTGTGGAACCTTCTAAAAGATGCAAAAGGGTGACTTTTCATTGAAGACCCAAAGAAAGGATAACACACGGCTCAAAGGGGCTGACTAGGGGGTATGACACACCAGGACAGTCAATTTGGTCGTGGGCTAATCCTATACCTCCATCATCTTAGCTAATGACAACGTGAATGCTACACGTTATGGAAGAGGGAACTATCGCACAAGAAAGAAACGAGCAGGCTCAAATCTCACATGGCTACCTAAATGCTCTATCTCTCATTCTGATTCCCTGAACTAGATGCATAAGAGACTGTCAAAAACAAGTAATTAATCCAAGTCACAGTTGGTAAGCAAACAGTTGAAAAACTGAACCCCTACACAACTCTACTGCACGTCTCAGTCATCATCATAGGTTGTCCTAAGCACCATCCAGTTGTCATACATTAATCCGAAAACCATTCATTTCACCAATCAAAACACAGTGCCAATATGATCAAACACCGTACTTGGAGCCCTCAAATCGTAAGATTTGGACAGTGGACTAGGCTCCAAGCACACAAACAGCCAAACATTCACCCGCATAAATAATCGAACACCCCCCCACACTTAAGCACGACATTGTCCTCAATGGAGGAAAGATAAGGAGGGTAGAATGAAGTTACCAGATCAAGGGTGAATGATGATGAACGGGTCAGGCGGTGCATTCCAGAAAGAGAGAGTAATCAAAACACAAACACCACACAAAATCTCACAAAGGTTGAGTTATTGACTCAAAAATAAAATAATAAAACTGACTCAACCGAGGAGAAATAGAGAAAGAAATGCAAACCGACTGGTTGGGTTGCCTCCCAACAAGCGCTTCTTTCACGTCGTGAGCAGGACGATGGCTCCTAAGTTTCGGTCCATGCTAGAACCTCCTTGAAGTTGAGGTTCTCGTCAATGAGGTGGAGTCTCAAGTCACGAGCATGTGGTATGACAGGTGATGGAAGCTCGTGCACTTGATGCAGATAACGTCTCCACCCTCGAGACCTCTTCTTCTCTTCTCTCGTCTCATTGCCCCAAACCAGATATGACAGCATCGATTGATCACCATCGCGTCCACCAAGAGGGACCGATGTCGATGTGGCCTTGGTCTGGCAAAGAGACACTGCAAATGGGTCCTTGCTAAGCAGTTCCTCGAAGTTTGGTGGAGATATCACATGTAACTCATGGCCGGTGCAGGCCTCTTCCACCTTAACTCCGTCCTCAGCCTGGACGCCAATTTCTTCTTCATGTGGTATCACCCCTGGGAAATGATCAAGAACTCCTCCTGCTTCACTTTCGTCATTCTCCACAACTTCTTTCTGCACCCTTTCTTGCTCTTC